ATTGACTGTAAATAATTTATTACATAGCACAATACAAACTAGCATAACTAGAGACCTAAATAAAAAGTCTACTAAGATTTCTAGTAGGTCTCTAGCCCGCACTCTACAATTATTGTAAATATACTACACATAAATTTATTGTACATGGGGAAAATTTTTAAAAAAATATATGTTTGCGAACTCTATTTTAAATCCGATCGCATTTTAAAAGGTATGTTTGTTGCATAACTTGCGCTTGTATAATTGTTATGATAATTAATATGTAAATTTTGCTTAGTATGACCATGGACACCATGGATGCAAATGTTGTCTTGTTGACACTACACGACAGCCTGAAAGATAAAAATATGGCTTCTCGAATCTCTCCGTTTCAAGCAAACTTTCGTCCTTTGCTCGAAACGTCGAAAAGAGGCTATATTTTTATCTTTTAGGCTGTCGAGATTCATACAACCTTGGCTGCTTTTTTAATATGGAGCCGAAGCCATCTGAAACCATCAAGTTGTTATATATGTTTTAATGTTTATAATAGCTTTCTGCATCTTTTTTCCACTGTATGCATATTTTTATACGGGAAAACAACCACGGATTTAGACTATAAACGTACCCACAAAATATAATCTCAACTGAGTTTTATAATGATTGTTAGTGATATACTGATATTTGTGTGTTTGACACCCTGTCAGGCTTCATGCTGTAATTCCATCTGTCGTTTATATTTACCGCCCAGTTGGATATCTAATATTTTATTTGCACCATTTTTGAAGTATATAAAGTTCGTGTGTTTTTTTTACTATATATGAAGTGGCAAGTACATGTAGCTGTTTTAGCACCCACAAAAGATTTTATTAGTCATGTATGACTGTAACACATTGTATTTTAATACCGTATGGTGAAAGCGACTTCGATTAAGATTCTTTTGATTCACTAGCTTGACACTAGCAGTTTTGATTAAGATTTTGTGCTATTTTGAAATATCGACTCTATCAGTTTTGAAGTTCTATTATGCATTACAATGTATGGAATTTATGCACTTATATTTAATAAGTGTAATCATTTCTATAGAGAACACAACTACTTGTGTACTAATTATAACCATTTGCAGATCCTGATAAGCCAAACTCAAGAAAAATCCTTCAAACTGGCAGAGTCCCCACAGAGAACCTGCCCTTAAGATCCCATGAGACCAAGAAGACACCATGTCGAGTTATTGAGAAGAAGGCACCAAGACAAGAGCTACAGGAGGATATACCATCTTCCTCCCATTCATATTTAGAGCCAGGATTGTGTTCAGATGATTTAATTAATCATCTTGACAATGATACTTTATTGGAATGGAAAAGTGAAGTGTGTGATGATGGCAATGTCAATTTTTCTCTGACTGACAATGTCCATGGAGTTGCCAAATATACAGTTGTTGTGGATTCTTGCTCAATGGAGTTTACGGCATATGCTTTTAATTGGCCAATACCTGATGACCACAATATCTACAACGAACATAAACGATCTATCAAAAGTGGTGAACAGTTTCGAGAGGTGTTGTCAACAATAGAGAAAAGCAAGCGATGTGAAGGTGTGCCTGAAGATCATCAAACAAAAAATGCTGCTATTTATCCGAACACTGACATAACCATTGCTATTCCTCGAACAGTTATTCGCTACTCTGTTCCGAAAAAACCATCACCAAAGCAATTTGAAGCAACTGTTTTCTTTCGTTCACCTAACTGTGACGTCATCATAGAACATTCTGAACTCTGTGATCCATGCTCAACTATCACCAAACAACTAAAGAGGACAAACAAAAAGAGAGCTAAAACATCCCCAGCAAAGAGTAAGGCTCCTCTTTCAGCATGTGCACCTGGCAAGTTACGAGCAACTGTGGTCGCTGCAAGGTCGAAGTGCAAATTATTTGAAGGAGAACTGCAAGAACTCCAAAAGAAGATTACCAGTCAAGGCGTATCCATTGATAAGACTCTGGAGGAGAACATTCTGAAGATAATGGATGGACAAAATCTAGATAGTACTCCACACATGAAATTCTTCTGGCAAGAGCAGATGAAGCTTTTGCAATCTTCTAGTTGTGGACGAAGATATCACCCACAAATTATTCAGTTTGCTTTATCTGTTCATGGCAAATCACCATCTGCCTATAGAGAGCTCAGAGAAAGCGGTGCCTAACCCTAACCCAGTGAAAGAGTTTTGAGAGATTATAAAAATCATTTCTCTCTAAAAGCAGGGGTAAACGCAGAAAATGTAGAATCCTTGCGAAACAAGGTGAAATCATTTAGCGGAATTCAACGATACGTCGTACTGGTCATGGATTAGGTGAAGATCCAATCAAATCTTGTATATGACAAGCATTCTGGTGATCTCATCGGGTTTATTGATCTTGGTGATCCTATGACAATTTATGCCTGTCTGGATAAGGAAGATAGCGTTGCCACTCATGCATTGGCATTTCTTGTTAGAGGTTTAGCCACTGATATGAAACATATCATTGCCTATTATTTTACAGGGAATGTCACTTCATACCAGCTAATGCCCATTTTCTGGAAAGTTGTGTCAACATTGGAGCTGTCACTGGATCTTTGGGTGATTGGTCTGGTCAATGATGGTGCTTCACCAAATCGCAAATTATTTAATCTCCATAGCACGTTGGCTGGTGAAGATGAATGTGATGTTGTATATAAGACTTTAAATCTTCTTGCACCATCACGTTTTGTCTACTTCTTCACAGATTCTCCACATTTACTGAAGACAGCTCGAAACTGCTTGTATAATTCAGGATCAGGGTCACACAGTCGATACATGTGGAACAATGGCAAATATCTTCTATTTAGTCACATAGTAGATTTTTTTATCAGGATCAAGCAGTTGGGCTACACGTGCTTCCAAAATTGACACTGTGAGTGATGAGCCAGTGCAGAAGAGAAAGAAAAAATAAGTATGTTTTTTCTTATAAATATACAGTGATTGACCATTTATTGTTGAATTTGCTATGTGCTCTACCTTACATATTATTATTAGAGGGCATAAAGTACAGAATCACAAAATCTTTTCCATGGGCAGATTTACTGGGAAGGGGGTTAACCCCCCCCCCCCGAATCATTTTAACCCCTCTTATTAAGTGTTCAACCCTACCAAAATTTTGCTTCACCCCTCCTATTTTGTGTGAAACTCTTTAACACCAACACGTAACCCCTGCTGAAGCTCGCTCAGTGGTACCTCTTCAAATTTTTCCACCCTCCTTTTAAAAAAATGAAAATTTGCCCTTGGTTCAAAGAATTAACTGTACTTTATGTTCGGTATTTGCTCTAGCTAACTTGTATATGGTATTGACTACTTATATATAGCATGTGCATTCATGGTAATTGAAAGACTTGAAAATGTGGCTGAAACTTTTCAAACTCACAGTTCTGTTGGAAACTATTCTACTTAAACATTAATTAAGATGGAAACACTGGAAGCATTACTGAATTATGAAACCTAATTGTACAAATTGTAAGGAATAGAGATGCCATTCTTTTTTTCCTACTTTTTATCATAAAATGTGATTGTATTTTTCTGCTTTATCCACACATTTTTATTATTATTAAATAAACAAGAAATAGGAATAGTATGATGGCAGGAATGTTTGTGACAGCAGCATATTATATTAATGGTAAAACAGGTAATGAGCAATGTAAATATAGATTTCATATTAGAGTTCAATGTAAATAGTATAGAATGTGTTCAAAAAGCATGAAGTATATTGTTTCATCAGACTACGGAACTTGAGAAGTGTGATAAATTGGTGTTTTACTGGCTGAATTCGAACATTATGCAGTACCCTTACAGTATGTCAGTCCCTTTCAATATGCATGCAAAACACAGCTGACAGCCTAATGTCCAATTTTAACATATGATTTTCTAATCATAATACAACATAGAAGCAATAACTACCACTGTAGCAAAGCGAAACACAAATTTGAATTTTCCAGCAGTATCCAACAGGATACCAGCAACTAAAAATCTGGTATTCCAACCAGAAAATCTAGTATCCCACATTTGATTAATAAACTATTTTTGTATTCTGACCAGAATTTTTCGGTATCACTCGGGAGACATAGCTTGTGATTTCCAGTATGCGTCTGGATATAGGGATAACACAAATTTCAAGGCCTGCAAAAACTGGTATTGAATTTGCATGTCACAATGAATTCCTATATATTTGAATAATACAAATGGTTAAAAATTTGCATTATGTAATTAGATTTTATTTCTGGCTTTGACAGGCACGGATTTTCTGGGGAGTGCGTACCCCCCCCCCCAGAAATGATTTACACACACACCCCGGAGGCATTTGGCACCGCCCCCAATAGTTTTTGCGCACCCCCGCAAATTATATATATTTCGATTTGATACTTTCATATTTGATTATTCTTACTACTAAATTTGTAAAATTACAATACTATGGTCTGGCCATGCAGGCCTAGAAAACACATTTTGTTAAACTTTTTCCTTGGCCTTTCCAGGCGTTGCCACCAGTCCCCAGCCAAAGCAAGCAGCACCCCCCCCCCCTCCCAATATATTTATCCACCCCTCCCCCCGAACAAAACTATGCAAATCTGTCTCTGTCTGGGTTTTGCTACTGTTAGATAATAAACAATGCTGGCCAACGACAGGGGGATCATTCACATGAGCAAATTAAACAGCATTTTGTATTCATACATGCTAATTGTTAATACAGCTGATTCAATTAAGGTTGTCCGTCTAAAACCTTAAACCTTTAAACTCTGAGCGCGCAAGGGATGATGGGTTTTCACTTTTTAGACCCTCAAACTCAGAACATTGTCTTTGCGGCAAGTATGTTTTCTGTCGTGAGTCTTCTATATGTCTTAGGTATTCTCGCAAAACCAAATTTCACAGTTTATGAGTCTAATAGATAACCAATCATCCCTCGCGCGCTCAGAGTTTAAGGTTTAAGTTTTTGGAAGGACAACCTTAATTGAATTAGCTGTATATTGTTATTATAGCAATCAAATTTGAATAAAGTGAAAGGACCTAGGGACCTGGCTAACAGGCTAAGTCTTGATGGTTAAAATAAGACCAGAATCCAAAAAATATAATATAGATAATATATTCAAAGTATATAAACATGAAAAAAGGATATTGACATAGCGTATTTATATTGTATCTACATGTTTATGACTTGTCCGAACTTTGTTTCAAATCCTTTCTCAGCCCTTTCTTTTTGTTTTGCTTCTCTTTTATTCTATATCGGAAGATATAGTCTCTGGCATATGAGAATGATCTCACCTTCAAATACAGTTTGACAATGTTTTCAAGGCATAACTTCTGGGTATCACCAGATGGATTGACACCAGATGACATAACAATATTTTGCCATAATGACTTGACAATTGGTAAGGAAAGGGTAGAATAGCAGATTGCATCGACAGGAATGTTTCGAATAGCCAGCTTTGACTTGTCAACTTCCTTTCTGAAACAAATCTCTGCTTCATGTAAAATTCTTACAATATCCTCACAAGGTGTTACAAGACCACCTCTTGTTCGGGCTAAAATGTAACTGTTGTTTTCTTGTTCTGATTTTAAATTCCGTAACAAGGCTTGAAGTTCATTGTTTTCCTTTTTAGACTTTGATGCTCTACTTAACTTTGAAATTACATACCCTGAAATATAGGAGAGAGGACCATGTTCGCTTGGCTCAATTTTGCAGTCAGGTGCAGATCTGTGTCTCTTTTCGCCCCTTGTGAGGTAATCCGGAATCCGGAATCCGGCTTTTTGTTGGTTTAGGAATCCGGAATCCAGAGTCTTGGAATCCGGAATCCAGACAGTGGAATCCGGAATCCAAATAACTGAGGAATCCGGAGCCCAGGTTGTTCTGGAATCCATTCATGTTTTATTTATTTCGAGAAAAAAACAACATAAAAACATAAAAAACATTGCTAACCATCTCCTCTTTTATTTAACTCCAGGAAATATGCTCAGGCTCTTTCAAGTTTCATGACCAAATAGTCCAAATACTTGAAATTTGAGAAACTGTTTGCGCCCGCGTGCGGCTTCCGATTACTAGCGGGTGTGTGACACATTCTTATACACTGTTTGCATCTTGGTGCTGTTTATAGACAATAGCGAGCTTAAGATGCACCAAATCTACGATGCGGTCGTGGAAAGAACTGTAAATATTCCTACAGTTTCACTACACGGATAAAAATTAAACAAAGTCAGAGATACATGCAAGTGAATTGGTAAACAAAGTCAGAGACACAAGTGAAGCTGCATATAATAAAACTGGATTCCAAACATTAGCAACGGTTTTTATGTCACGTCCGCGTCGTAAGCCTTGGGCAAACTAGGAAACATTGTTGCGGAAACATTGTGATTCGCCATGTTTCCTCAAATGTTTTTGTGTTTACCTACCCGACGTACCCGTGGAAACATGGTTACAGAAACACAATTTGCTTCCCGAGAAGCAGAAATGTTTCCTATCAAATTTAGAAACATTTCACGTTTCCCAAGTGCGATTATTGTTGCGGAAATATTGTTTCTTAGTGTTTGTCCACCTTGGGAAACATGGCGAAACATTGGCAGGAAACAATGTTTCGTAGTTTTCCCAGAAAGTTGTGCATCTGAAGCTCGTACATCTTAAGCTCGTGCATCTTGATGCATCTTAAGCTTTTGAGTCGACTACGAAGCGAATTTTCGGACTTGGTCATGGGGAAACATTCCAAACACAGTAAGGAATCAAATGAGAATCTTGTCATTCTTGTCAATTTTCTTGTCAATCTTGTTTTATTTTATTTATATATACTCGGTACCCAGCCAACCAGACACTGATCCGTTTATACATTTACATTAGAATAAAATGCTTTTTTTTAGTTTCGCATGAATTATTAAAACGCTGAAGGTCGTTTACATTAAATCGAGCCTGCCAAGCCTGTGTTTGATACAAAAATATAGTGGGGGAGTGGTATTGGGGGGGGGGGGTTTACCCTCTCCCCCCAACTTTTTTAGAATTAACATATTCGGAAAATCGGGTTGGCCATCCGGAAAATTAGGTCAATAATCAGTATAACAAAATTTTTGTTGTTAAACAGAGAAAATATAATATAATTGTAGTATCAGTATAAACTGATTTACGAAATCATGGCATTTACATGGATAACATTTGACAAATAGTAAATCGGTAAATATTTTTCGGTTTATTGACTTCTCAAGGCCGTAGCAAGGGGGGGAGGGGGGGGGGGCTGTGTCATTCTTTTTTTCAAAATCATGCAGACCTTTATCATTCAACCTTTAAAATACTGACAATTGATTAATTTTAAGCGGCTACATTATCCATGACAGACTGCAAAGAATAATATTACCCATACTTTCCTGCAATTTCTCCAATATGTATATTTAATTAAATACGCCTTCGCCCATTTAGTACTACTAAATTGTAAGCAAATTGTAAATTTCGACAAACTAAAACACTATTTTCTGATCATCAGAATTCTGTCAAAACTTCCCCCAAAGTCCAGGGAATGGCATTTCAGAGACTCTAAATTTAAAAATTCCCTCGGGCCTTTGGCCCTCGTTCTCTCCCCCAATTAAAAAGAGCTCCCTACGGCATTGCAAACTCTCTAGTATGTCTATGCATAAAACATGCGTATTTTTGTTTGTAAATAGCGTCTTCAATTTCAGGATAGCAAACACATTTGTGGCTTCGCATGCCATGAAATATTCGGAATTCAAAATATTTTCGTCACTTCGGAAATTTTTGGCCTACACTCCTCCAACTATAAATGCCACGGCCCTGTAATTGGAATCCGGAATCCACTACAGTTTCGGAATCCGGAATCCAAGATGTGGAATCCGGAATCCAAGGAGTAGGATCCGGAATCCAAGCAGTGGGATCCGGAATCCAAATACCTCGTGGATTACCTCACATGGGGCGACTCTTTCTTGGGAAGCATTTTGCACGTTTAAAAATCTAACCAAATGATCGGGGACGTGGATCATGACAAGGTTTGCAACTCGCGAATCCGTACAGTTTAGTAATTCCGCGGACTTTGGCATTAACCCATACAACGACTGGAGAAGTTTATCTTGATTTCGGCTTCGAGAAAATTTTGTATATAAAGGCAACACTTCGTCGAACAATTCTTTAGTCGCCATAGTCTTTTCCACCGCAGCATTTATATTTCCCCCGTACAGCTTCTCTTTAACAATGTTTTCTTTTATCGTATCCACAATCGAAGTTATGGTCTCATAACAAAGCGGTGTTGTAGTCGAAGGAATTGAAACACTATCGCCATGTTTCAAATTAGTGTGCCTGGTCAATCCGCCTTTCGACTTGCATATTTTGCTGCATTTTGAACACGGAAACGATTTCAAGCCTTCAATTTCAGTCACAGCTTCTGCAAATTCATTTTCTACTCCTTGATCGTCAGTTTCTATGAGTTCAAGAGCAATATCTATGTTGTAGAATACACGTGCGTCGGGCATAATATCCTCTTGTTCACTTTCGTTGAAAACACAGGCACAAAATCGCGTGTTTCTTCCGGTTCTTCGTCTGAATCTCGCTCCAAACCCTTCCTCATTTCTTGTTCTTCCTGCAATTTCTCTTCCGCATTCATGAAACAAGTTTCAGGCAAAAAAATATATCGCAATCTGTTGAAACAGCTGGAAACCTATGTAATTCTAAACTATTTGC